GTCCACCCACCTCAGGTACCTGAACATATGCCAGGACTCCTCCCCAGGGCCAGCCTGGCCTCCCTCCCCACATCCAGCCTGACCTCACTCCACAGGGTCTGGCCTTTCCCTATGGAGCCTGGCCTCCCTGCTAGGGTCCCACCCGACCCACAGGCCCCAGGCAGCCCTGCTGTCTCTCACACCTGTGTTGACGGGCCCCGTCGCCTGCCCCTCAGCTCTGCTGACTCAGCCCCTCACCGGCCAGACAGGGAGACACGGATCACTCCCCTCACTGACCAGACTGCAGACAGCCACCCTGAAATGCTGTTGAGGAAGGCCGGGCCCGTCTCGTGTTTCTGCAGCCCATTCATTATTCACACCAGCCTCCGGCGGGATGGCTAGATGCTATCGGAGTTATTTTGGTGACTTGGTAACAGAGCTGAATTCCCTGACCCTGGGTCAGAGATCGGGCTACACCCCCGGGGCCCAGTCTCTGCAGGGAAGGCTAGACATGCTTCAGAGGCCTCTCACCTGGGCCGCCACGCCCACCTTGGGAGGATAGGTGTTGCGGGTACCCCAGGAACCAGCTCTAAGAACAGAGAACCCAGAATCCCACGGGGTGAGGCCCAGGTGGTAGGAGAGAAGAAAGGAAGCAGGTCAGGAATGCAGAGAAAAGCCCTTCGACAGCCACTGGCTCAGCACACACTCAGCCCGATGACAGCAGCGGGCTCAACACGCCATCAGCCCCCCAGCTCTAGCTTCATGCAGGTCTCCATCAGGGCACAACCTTTGGTCTGGTGACACTAGGGGAACACAAGCCTTTACCTCCATGTCCTGGAGAGCAAAGGGTTGGAGGGAAAGGTCTTAACAGCTGCTCCGGGCACCTCTCTGCCCTCCCTCACCAGAAAGAAGGTGACAGAAACAGTTCTGACAGAACACCTCTCAGAACCAGCCGGCTGCCAGCTGTCTACGCACTGATAAGGTCTGCATGGTTGAGGGTAGAGCATTTGTGTGAAGAGGAGGTGATGAGACAGAAGGACAACAAGGTCCTGGGCCCTCTGTCACGCAGGCAAAACCCGGCTTCCCTAGCAAGGAGGCCGCCTGTACATGGAGGCCCTTGTCTGTGAGCAGAGAATGGCTACTGCCCGAGGTGTTACTTGTAGAGACACTCCGCAGGAACCAGGAGTCCGGGAAAGCCAGAAATGTGAGGAAACAACTCTGGTCACGAAGGTGGTCACTGGAAACGTGGCATGGGTCACAGGTGGCTGAAGACAAGCTCTGAGTCCTCCCTTTTCTGAGCCCGGTAGCCACAGAGCTAGGTGGATGTCACGGGGCTGGAAGGGACCCGAGATAAGGGGATCTTTGGGAGCGAGGGGCTGGGGCTGGACCACTGGTCATCCTGCCCTGCCTGGCTGGGGTCCCTCCTGATGGCCTGAGTCCCTTGCTTTGTGAAGTCACAGTTCAGGCAAATCCACACTGTTGCTGCCTCAGCACCACAGAAGCAGAGACCAGCTGTGTACTCGGGCAGATTCATCCACCTTTGCCACTCCCACACACACCCAAGGGGCTTGGGGGCTTTGGGGGACCACCATCATTATCTCCCAAACTCCACCCAGCACAGGTTGGCAGAGCCATCACAATGGCTGAGATCCAGCCAGAGCTACCCAGATCACGTCTACCTGGGGCTGCCAGGTGCTAACCTCCGCGCTGACCCACCAGACTCCCTACTGGGGGCTCCTCCTGGGCCTCTGTTGCCTGACCAGGCTTTTCTATGCTAAGTGGGCTCTGTTCCTTTGGTGTTGGCACTTTTTGAGCCACAGTGGCCTCTAACAAAGTGACCTCAACACGTGGGCTTCCTGGTGGTCACAGTGAGGTGGCCATGGGAGCCAGCAGCTGGCCTGGGAGATATTCCCCAACATAAGAAAGATACTCTCACGAAGAGGGTGGACTCTCAGACCTCAAAGTGGGTATCGGCATGACTTCCTTGGGAGTAGGACACCATCCAAGGGGAGGCCCTAAACTGGGTGGGGGAGACCACGGAGCAATGAGCAATGAGCAACGTCCCTTGTAAGCCTTGGCATCCCTAAATAAATTGGGCCTGGACCAGGTGAGCCTCCCTCCCCTCCTAGTCTCACATCCCACCGTCTATGGTTCAGCATAGGGAGCAGGTGGGACGTTTGGCCCATTGGGCCTTGCTTCCTACCTTAGACTTCCTGCTCCAGATGGCCTGAGGGACGTGCGCCCACCTCCCTCCCCGCATTCCTCTAGGGCTCTGTTGGAGTTTGTCCATTCTGCAGAAGACCCCTGGCTTGACTCCACAGACACACTGAAATGCAGAGGAAAGTGACTGCATGTACTGAAGGGAACAGCAGCTTTCTTTTTCTTTTTCTTTTTGAGTCAGGTCTCACTCTCTTGCTCAGGCTTCTCACTGCAGCCTTGACATCCTGGGCACTGCCAATGCTCCAGAGTCACTCTCCCAAGTAGCTGGGACTACAGGAGTGCGCCACCATACCTGGCTAATTTGTGCATGTGGAAGCCAGGTCTTACTATGTTGCCCAGGCTGGTCTCAAACTCCTGGACTGAAGAAATTCTCCTGCCTCAACCTCCCAAAATGCTGGGATTACAGGCATGAGCCACCATGCCCTACCAGGAACAGCACTCCTCAAGCACATGCTTGCCCCCACACTCACGTGGCCCTGAGCTGCTGAGGCCTGTGACCAGCAGGCTGACCACAGTGTTCCTGGGAGCCAGCCGCCCTCTCAGCCCTGGCCACCCATGACCTGTCCCCACACATGCTGGGGGCCACCGTGGTATGAATCACTTCCGAAGAGGGTCAGGTGCCGGCACTGCTGGTGTCAAAATGTGCGAAAATAACTCAGGGCACAGGCAAGACTCTGTGGTCAGGAGCTTCCACGGCACCAGTGCTTTCTATTTTCATTTTTTATAATTATGTGCAAAATCTATTTTTATCCCATCTGTGGTCCACCTACTGGGAGAGAAAACAAACGCCCAAAACCCCCTTTCTAACTGCTCCGCTCACACTTACAGAGACGTGAATGCGCTTGCCAGACACACCCTATACTCTTTAGATGACTCGTTTTTCACAAATGGGACATGCTGGCAGATGCTGGCACTTTCTGCTGGGGATGGTCTCCCTCACATTTCAACTGGAGGGTCACGCGATCTGTGGGGCCACCTGGCCTCCCCGCCCTGCAGCCTCCACCGACATGTTGCTCCTGGTGGATGGTAACTCTTGAGGGCACGCCTGGAGGATATTTAAATGACCACCCCAAGGTTCTCAGCCCCAAGTGCCTCACCCCTCCTGAGACCGCACTGACAGTCTGACACCACGCTGTGACTGAGACACTCTGTACACAGGACTAGAGACTGGTTCCACGGACATGAGGACAAGTCAGATGCCAAGTTGTGTCCTCACATGCATGATCATGGAGGGCACCATGCTGTTTGTAACAGGTGGAAGCAAAGCCCGAAACCCGAGGGCCCTCTGTGCACACCCTGTATTGCCTCATGAAATAACAGCCACGACTCTCACAACTACGCCCAGCATACATGCTGGGGACAGACGCCACCTCTGCGTCCACGACCAAGACACCCACAGCTGCTCACTCCGATGGGTATTACAGTAGAACAGGTTTCTGGCCATCAGTCCCTTATCCTTTATGTCCACACCTCCTCCTTAATGGTGTTTCCATGCCCTGTCACTACCGTTCCATCCAGCAAGAGTGTGCATTCACCTGGTGGGGGTGGACACCTGCTGTCACTTAGCATAGCCACACTTGGGTGGTACTTGACCTTTCTTTCTCCACCTGGGAAGGCAGAACCCACAAATGTCAAGCCAGCCTCTGCGTGCTCGGGGGGTCAACTGCATTTGCCCATGTCAAGCAGCTTGCGAGGTTGGTATTAATGGTGGCCGGTGCACAGCCCACAAACGCCACCGTAATATCAGCCTCAAGTGCCGCTGAAGTACTGCTCCAGCCCCTGCCCGCAAACACACGCCTGACTGCCGCGCTGGCACACAGCCACTCGTCTCCGTGGCCACCCCCCCACGGAGCCTTTTTACTTTTCTAAATGGAGTAAATCAAGAATACGGAGCCTGCTGAGCGCCTTCCGGCCCACGTCGTCCCCAAATAACAAGGCTGGGCACTGGCCCTGCGGTGTGGCTGTGCTGAGGAAAGTATCCTATGCGGCTGCACGGCCTGGACCATCACACCCGCCTCTGAGGCTGTCAGAGAGGCAGCCCTGGGGCATGAGGGCCATAGGCTAGAGGTGATAGGTGTGACACAAGGGAGCACTGTCACCCACCAGACACCCTGGGATTCCGTGTGAAGCCCCAGTGGATAAAGCACAGCTGGGTGGGAAGATGTGGCCAGCCTCCATCACAGCCACCAGTGCCTCCTTGGCCCTAACCCTACACATTCTAACCCTACACATCTTTTCCCAAAGTGCTAATGATGGGAGGAGGCAGCACCCGGGGCCCGGGAGAGGCTGTCCACCCACAGATGCCACCGGTGATGTCCCCAAGCCAGGCCACTCTGAATGCAGCCTGGGCTGCCTCTGCTCTATCCCTGCCCACTGCCGCACACCCACAGGTCCCGATGCCTCTCAGCAGGGCCATGAAGACAGGCTTGGGCCTGCACCTGGGAACCTGCATTACTGAGCACCAGGCTGACGCTGGTGTCCTGAAGGTTCAGAGGCTCTGGAGAGACACAGATGCACACGGCCAAGGTGAGCCAAATACCTGATCAATAGAGGTGTCGTGGACATGAGATGGGCATGGGCCAATCTCAGAAACAAGGACAGGTGACCCAGAAGGTGTGGAAAGTGCCACACGCACGGAGCATCAACCCCAGATGTCACTACAGACGTGTATTTAGCTGAACCGGTAGAAGGTGAAGATTTTTTTTAAAAGAGGGAAAGTGCAGCTGGCTGTGGCCACAATACTACCTTCTGGGCCAAAACAGCACCAAGCCACGTGCCGAGGCAGGCTGCAGACCCGGTACCTGCACAATGGGGTGTCCTCCAGCCGATGCCTTCACAGCTCCCCGGCTGCCCTCGGTCTCGTAGTGGGCACGGTGGTGGGACTTGGGCTGTACCTCGATGCGAAGCTCATAGGGGCCCGAGTGTGATGGCAGCTGCCAGTCCAGGGCAGGCAGGGACGGGCTGGAAGGGAACACAGAGGGTTAAACATGCCTATCCACACCTGACATGGCCCCCAGAGCCGTCACAGCCTACTGGTACCTGTCCACGCTCTCAGGCCTGAGTGTCCATTGACAGGGACAAGGTCCCAACATTGTGACCCAAGTCTGTGAGACCAGTGGTGATTGCGCCGAGACGTGCGGCCACAACCAGGTCAGTTCTCTACGATGGAATTGTTTTCCAGCACAACCCTAAGATATTTCACCTTCTTCACAACTCGCCTCTGTATTTAGCATCCCTAATACGAAAGGTTCCAGAACTAACTGAAAATCTTGTGAAAACCCATGAGGCAGGAGCCGCGGCCTGAGATCCAGGCAGTCAGTCCTAACTCTTCCTGCCACTAGGCAGCTGTGTGGCCACAGCCGAACACGTCCCTAACTCGGCCCTTTACAAAATGAAGGGCTTGCAGCTACTCCTGCACCACCATGTCCCATGAGTCCTGCAAACACACAGAAGGGCCTGGCACGCTGAAGTGGTGGGAGCTCCACTGAGAGACTGGTGAAGACACAGAGGATGAGGGCTCTGTGAGTATGTTTATATGTAGTACGAAGGGCAGGGAGCCACATGACTGCACAGGTGATAAGTACCAGCGCCTGTCCCCAGAGCCCACCTCAAAGAAGCTAGGTGTGGTCAGGGGCACTGCCCATGGTAGCACTTGGCTCCCTTGGCCTTCACGAAATGAAGGTTTAATGTGAAAACCCACATGTGGCCCACACATGCTCAGAGGTTTCTGCCCTGTGGAGAGTCAGTTCAAGTCTGGGTCCCATGGGAAGTGGAAGGGACATGTTCTGGCATCTCAGGTAAGACATATCACATGCCTGGGGGTCTCCGCTCTGGGGAGGTGGAGGGACGTAGTACAGGTCCTGTGTCACCATGGTCCATGCAGCCTAGACAGCCTGGCTACAGCACTGACCATGCAGGTGCTGCCCTCTGCCCCCACACAGGAGGCCAAGCATTTCTGTGATCAGGCCATTTCAGGGAGGCCCAAGGCTCCATGATGACCATGCTGCCTTGTCCACCCATCTTCTCTTGCTCAGCTACCATCTCTCCAACATGGCTCACAGCTGATGGACGTGGCAGGCCATTGCTGGACAGACACTGCTCAGTATCACCTGGTCAAAGCCCCTGTAGGAGAGGAGACCGCCCAGAGCCTGCTCCAGCCCTCAGGACCACGATAGGTGGGCAAGAGCACACAGCCATCACTGGGGTCACCAAGACTGGGCTCCATACAGCCCCATAGACCCTTCTGTCTTCAGAACTGGACGTGGCAGCCATCTGATGCTTCCACTGACACCTCATTGACGGTTTTCACTGTATGTGGCAGAGACATGGTCAATCCTGGTGGTATCTTTGTGACAGGCTCAGGGAAGGTAGTTTCATGTGCAGCAGGCTTGGGGGGGGGTCCCAAGTTCAAGGGGACTGTCCCTTGTCCCCCAGGAGGCCCCACGCCGCTGACCTCAGGACTCCCCATTAACCCAAGGTGACTTTTAATAAAGGTCCATTTTAAAAAGAAAAGGCCCAAGAATCAGCTTAAATAAATTCAAATGTGTAATTTCTAAAAACACAAAATATTTAAAAGATTCCCTGACAGGATAACACTGGAAGCTCCAGAGCCATTCAAAGACCAGGATGCAGAGGTATCCAAGGACACCATGGAAACTCATGGTCAGTGACACCCACAGAGCCTGGGCCTGTGGGTGCTGCTGCTGCCTGGCTGGTAGGTGGGCTCCAGGGTGGCTCTCCCTAAAATGTCTACTCAGCTGCCAACCCAAGACAGGTTTCTGCAGTGGATACTAGCAGTGTGATAACAGGAGCCCTCCCTTCTCTGTCTGGCACTGCCCAGGACCCCTTCTGGGTGTCGAGACCAGCTGAGGGCCGCATGATACCCACATGCATCACTGCACAGCATGGCCTCAGGAGCGCTGTGGAGAGTCCACATACCGAGAATATGCATGCTATCCACATGGTGGGGCTAAGTGTAGGTCGTGCTGGACTCCCCACCCGCCAAACCACAGGTCTCGGGGACCATCAGACACAGTCAGATGACACTGCCTGACCAAGGAGTGCTGGGGCCTCCAGCAGCCCACAGGCTGCAGCTGGCAGAGTGACTTCCTCTGGAGGTTATCAGCAGATATACCCCGTTTCCGGTGACACTGCCAGATGGAAGAAAGGCCACCATGCCTGGGACTCACTGGGACAGGAGACCCTCAGGGTGTAAGACCTCACCCAGCCGGGCCAGTGGTGGTCCTGGGGAGGAAGGGGGCATGGTGCACAGAGCCGGTGACGAGGGTCCCTCCAGGTCCCTTCACAGTAATGACTGCTCTGCTCCTGCATGGGTAGGTGCCCACAGAGTTGCCTCCACCCAAGGGCAGCCTCAATCTGACACACCCCAGGACCACCAATTCCTGGTGTCATCTTCTATACTAGCTGAGTGAAGAGACTCTCTTCTGCTATAAAGAGAAAAAAGCAAATAAAATACAAAATTCACAGTGAAGAGAACTGCGCTCACCTGATTCCCAGGAAATCTAAAAAAGAAAGAGACAGACCGAGAGAGAGAAGAGAGGAGAGAAAGGGAAGGCCAGTTCCTCGCTGCCTGTTTAGAGGCAGACACACTTCCTGGAGATAGGGTTGTCTATGCCATTGTGTACTTGCCTATTTCAGAAGATAAACTTGTATAGACACAGTCACCCATCTGAGAAACACATGGCAGGCAGTGCTGTTGTGTGAATGCCCTAGAGAGAATCCAGGGCATACCAGGCCCCAAGCCCACACACCAGCACAGCATGCTGTACACACTCACGGCAGGCAACTGCACACAGTGGCATCATGTGTCTACAGAGAGAGACAGTGCAGCAAAGCCACCATGCCCCAGTCCTATAGGACCACCATCCCACATGCGCCCATCGCTGACTGAATCAACGTCATGTGGCATATGACTGTATTTTACTCTAGAAACATTTACAGTCAAGCAGCACAGTGTGTGTGCAACTTAAGGTAAGACTGGCTTACAAAATAAACACTGCGATCCAAACAATGAAGATGATGGGTTTTGGTTGGACATTTTCAGCCTGAATTTGGCAGCTGCACCAAAAATGCAAATGTGTGTCTCTGGTTCAGAGAAAAGACCTGAACTGGAGAGATGTGAAGGCTGCCTCTGGGTCAGGGTGATCACTGCTGCCCCTGCCCTCCTGGGCTGGGCTCCCCATGCACTTCTGGTGGGGACTCCACGGGGGCACAGCCAGACTGGCTGCCGTCAGGAGCCTCTAACCAGCCCCAGCCCCGTAGCAGGGCTTTTCTCGCTAATCCTGAGCTCAGGATTCCTAATAATTTCCTGCTTCCAACTCATCTCCAACTTATTTCATTTGTCTAAGAAAGTCACACTCGATGCAACCAAGAAAGCAAGTGGTGAGACTTGTATCCAAGGTCCATCTGATTTGCACAAAGGAAGCAGTGACAATATCTACACACACACTGAAGTCCTGTACAACTGACCATCATTCCAGAGAAACTATCTCAACAATTGAGGTGTGTGTGTGTGTGTGTGTGTGTGTGTGTGTATGTGTGTATTTTTACAGAAAAAGGGATATATCTTAACAAAATAAAATACATAATTTGGGTCAGGTGTGGTGGCTCACATCTGTAATCCCAAAACTTTGGGAGGCCAAGGCAGGAGGACTGCTTGAGCCCAGGAACTTGAGACCAGGCTAGGAAACATACCAAGATCTTGTCTCTACAAAAAATCAATACATTAACTGGGTGTGGTGGCGTATGCCTATAATCCCATCTCAGCTACTCAGGAGGCTGAGGTGGGAGGAGCGCCTGAATCCAGGAGTCAAGGCTGTGATCAACTATGATAATACCACTGCAGTCCAGCGTGGGCTACAGAGACCCTGTCTCTAGCGTGTGTGTGTGTGTGTGTGTGTGTGTGTACATACATACGAGGGGGGACCCAAAAGACCAGAATTTATTAAAAACTGTGCATTTATTCTTACACGTTAAAGTTTCAGTCACCTTCAAAGTATTCTCCATTTGATGCAGTGCACCTATTGAGACTTTTTTCCACTGCTCAAAACAGTTTTTTAACTAGTCAATTTTGATGCCTTTTACTGTTTCTGCTATTTTTTGTTTCCCCTCTTCCACATGGGCAATGTGGTGACTGCAAGTATTTAAAATGCATGTTGCTGAGCCCAACATACCCTCCAAGGCCCACTGCCTGCCCTGACCATGGCCACTGCCCAGAGGCCAGCAGGCCCGGTCTCACATAGCCCAACCTGCCTGCCCCAGACAGCAGGGGTGTGGGTATAGGGCTGCTGTGTGGTGCTGGTAGTACCATCCTCCCATGATGGCTGAGGGGGCTGCCTACCTAGGGCCCAGAAACCCCTGGGGATGGCATGGGGGGGCACCAGGAGTGAGGCCTACAGAGCCACCAGCTAGCCCCAAATGCTCCCTGGGACCTGAGGGTCACCACACAGGTCACAACCACATGGCTCCAGGCCCCAGAGTTGGCTGTCCACGCTCAAGACAGGCACAGCAAGGAGCTCTGTGGAGAACAAGCTGGTCTCCGTGATGACAGAGCACATCACACCATCCCTGTGGCCATGTGTGGCACCTGTCAGGACATGCCCTGCACTCCTGTGTGACTGCCCTGCTCACATAGCCACTGCCTGTCTCCCCCATTGTCAGGCCTCTCACTTCCTGCTGAGTCCATATCCCCCCCAGAACCTGATGCCAGAGGGGGAGGGAAGGACAGGGGACAGAGAGGGGCCCCCATGAGAATGGACCATCAGAACCTGGCTCCAGAGGTAGAAGGATGATGGGGGACAGACAGAGATGGGTCCCACGAGGATGAACCATCAGAACCTGACTCCAGAGGAAGAAGGGAGGACTGGACCAGAGACAGAGACCAGTCTCACTAGGATGGACCCTCAGAACCTGACTCCAGAGGGGAGGGGAAGACAGGGTCA